CCCCAAAACCCCAAAACCCCAAAACCCCAAAACCCCTTGTAAATCATATTCATAGAAATAAAATTAAATTTTTATAAATATTTCAAATAGCCATGGCTGATATGACTTCCAGTCGGAGGAAACAACCCAAAGGAGACATGTCTATGTCCATCCTCCAGAAACGATTCAAAATTGATGATGGAAAAAACAAGTATGTCGAACAGTCTACTCTACTTGAGCCTTCCAACAAAGTCACACATAAACAAGATGAAGAAGAAATGAAAGAAGTATCTGCTTCGCTTGCTGAGCTCAAGAAGAACCATGACATCATCAAGAAACGTGTCAACGAAAAAGAAAAAGATCTCGACACCATCCGCAAAGAAATCCAGCAGCTCGAATACCAAGAAAGCACGGCTGAGGGAGCAGTCTATGAAAATGATACTCGCAAAGAACAGATTGAGAATGCTGTCTCAGTCACTCAGAAGAAGACTGCCGAAGAACTCATGAACTCGAGAGTGCATGCCCACATGATTGAGAGACTCAACAAAGACTTGATTGCAATGGAAATTTACAAGAAGAACCTTGAGACTTCTCTCAAAAACAAGGAAACCATGTTCGAAGAACAGAAAGAGAAGTTTAGAGCAGCCAAAGAGCAGAAGCTCCAGTCCAAAACTATTTTCGACAACTTGGTCAAGAACCTGTACAACGAGCGGAATGAAAAGAAGAAAAGGATTGAGCAACTTGTCAAGTCCATGAAGAACAAGACTGACAATGTCAGAAGAAGAGTCGAGCGCATCAAGAGGCAGAACGAACTGGCCGAAGCTGCAGCCAACGAGAACAAAGATGCTGATGAAAAGCAGATGCGCAGAGAATTCATGTTCAACAAACTCTGGAACTCATTCATCAGGAAGAAGATGCAGAAAGAAATGAAGGAGTCTACTCACATCGATGAAGCCTTCAAAGCCATCAAGACTGCCACCGGTGTCACTGATGTGCAGAAGCTCGTAGAGAAGTTCTTGACCAGAGAGCAGACTTACTCCGAACTCTTGGTTGCAGTCGCTGACTCTGAAAGCAGAATCGACAAACTCAGACGTGAAAACGAAGTCCTCAGGTCCAGACTCAACGAGCTCAAGATCGGTGCAGAGGAAGTCGAAGGCGGCCACTCTGAGTCCGAAGAAATTGTGGCCCTCAAGAAAGAGCTTGACGAAGTCCAGAGAGAAGAAGCCATCATGAAAGAAAAATACTACAACGTTGAAATCGTTCAGGACCTCATTGACAACTGGGCCAGAAAGATCATTGGCAAGGTTGACGATGAAGCCACCGAAGATAGAGTCAACAACATGGACTTGGTCGAGATCTTTCAGAAGCTCTCAGGCATCGTGGTGCAGAACCTTGAGGATTATGAGAACGATGACGAAGACGAAATAATTCCAGCATCCAACATGATGAATGACCATTTGACACAAGATTTCATGGAGAGAAATATTAGAATTAGACCATCTAGTGGCAAGACAGAAGCTGATATCGAAAAGTCGAAATACGGCTCTAAAAACGGTCCTCAAACCGACAACCTCGATGACAACGCTGAGAAACAATACAACGATGATCTCATCGAACTTGACAATCAAAGGAAAAATATTAAGGATAAAATTCTGAGAATTCAGGAAGAAAATGCCAGAAAGAGAAAGCTTGAAAAAGGAGATGAAAAGTAATTCAAGACTTATTCTCTTCAATATTTCCCTGATTAAGAGGGGTTTTGGGGTTTTGGGGTTTTGGGGTTTTGGGGTTTTGGGG